CATTTTGTCATGCGTTTCGCTCCTTCAGAATGAAACCTTGCACTCCATGTTTTACCAGCTTGTTATGTTTCTTTGAATTAGAACGAAGAACTTCGTCTAATCGGTTCACTTAATTTGGCAGTTGCACGAGCTGGTTAAGCACTAGATAAAGAGACCGTGGACAGCTTACGTCACATATAACGTTAGCAGTTTCAACATTTATCGGTCAATAGTTTGCGCATATCTGCACCAGAGCTAATTTTGAGTGTCGGGTTACCAATAACTAAGACTGCTGCGATCCTGAGACCTCCAGAAATATAGTGCAGTGTTTAGCGTTTGCTTTGGTTGCTGCGCGAAGCCCTAACCGACTTTTAACTCGAAGATGCCGCTACCACTATCAGCCCTCGAACTCAGTTGCTTAGGAAATGCGGAATTTTCTACGCCAGTTACCTGTCGTGTGGTCCAGCGGTCGTGTTTGTCAGAAAAACGTGAGGCCCTGGGTATCTGTGCCAATTGTTCTTCAGATATGCATGAGTCCTCCAGTTCGAGATAGATCAACGGTTAGGGCTCAAACATCCTGCTGGGTGTTCCGCAGATTGAACCCAACCTCGGCTTCTCGACCACTTCTATCTAGGCCTGGTGGTATCTCGGCCCATGTGCTTCACTTGGGTGGCTTAGCAACTATGCGGAGATGAAGGGTGGCGTGTGCTTTTTTAGGTTTTATCTTCCAGTGGCCTGAAGTTTAGGAGGAATCCAGACACCTGTCAAACAACTCATCGTGGCTCATGTCAGTAGACATGATTTCCGTCATCGACGAAAACTTTCCCCAGTGACCTATCAGCAGATTATGAACGTGCTTCTATATGAAGTGGACACAGTCGCTTCATATCTTGGCGACTACTGTTATTTAAACAACTAAAGAATGAGTTGTGTCCCGGTTGGATTCAGTCATTTAACGAATTTACGACCATAGTGTAATTCTGTAATTCTGTTAGGTACCTCGGGTTCATGTTTGACAAAAATCGCCTTCGTCTCGACTCCATAAATATGGTGGTAATGATGAACACTGTTCAGTATTACTGAACTCAAGTAGATTGGGGGGGGGGGCACAGTCGTACTGTCCTCAGTGACAGGAGTGTGAAGGCAGTAAGGGTTTTCCCCCAGACCAGCAACATGCCCAGGTTAATGGAAGCAGTGGTACTTCTGTTCCCCGAGGAAGGACGAGTTAGAAAAGTTCGGTATTAGAAACCGCACACTTTGATCATCCACCAGTTGACTGTGACCGCCGGTGCATCATTAAATACGGTGGAAATGCTTTTGAAACCAAAGATCCCGTGCCGCTCAAAAGGCGCCTTCTGTGCGCAGCTACACACTGCCTTCTAGGGCCAGGTAGGCCCCCTACAGCCATTGAATCATTGGCTCCAGAAGGGTCCCAAAGAAACCCCCAACAACCACTGCATCGTGGTTCAGACTCGAGTCAGAGGCTAGGAGAGTTTTCCCCGAACATAACTTCTGTGTCAAAGGTTCAACTAAATCCCCTTCGTCCTGAGCAACCAGGAATCATCATTCGCCCTTGCAGGTCTTCGCTCGGCGGCATTCCTCTACATCCCTTTTACACCTGTCGAACGGTTCAGTGCCATCAACCTCTACTGACTTCCGAGCCACTGTTCCATGTCCAAACCGTCGCACAGAAAAATAAACCAAAATAATCATTTACTATTTCAGGGGATCTGTTTCACGTTGTTGCTTTCAAATTAGACAACATGCATCACTTGCTGAAACCTTGCTTCCCCATCAGTCGATGTGTGTTGTGACTCCGAAATAGCCGTACGAGATCCTACTTCGGGCGAGATGGCTCAGTGCTTAGAGCGCGAATTTACTGACCGGAAGGTCCGTGGTTCGAACCTGACCTCTGCCCTTCGAATATCATTGTCTGGGCTTGAACAACCTCGCAGTATCCTAGCCCTCGTGTTTTCTTTGGGTGACATGGCAGCTAGGCACCGGAAAGGTGCTACAGCTGAACTTCGGTCCTACATCTCAAGCCACTTAGGACGAGCTCAGATGCTTTACATTTTATTCTCCGGCGATCCTGACGCAACGGCTCTTGTTATCTACGGTGTGCGAGTTGCCCTCAACCCCAAGACTGAAAGCGACTTACTGGGTTGGATCTTAGTAAACGGTCGCCTTTGCGCTGTGCGGTTCTCTGGGTCAATCATGATCAATACAGGTCGGTGCGGTAAACGGTGTTTGTTCGTCGTATTAGCATACCCCCAGACAGACTGCAGTTCTGAGACCGAGAAGAACGGGTGTTATCTATATTTGTTGTCACTGCAAGAATGACGGATATAGTAATCCTGGCGGGTGATAGGAATGCCTTACTTGGACGACCAATTCCGGAAGAAGTACGCTTGGGTGGTAGATTTAGAGTCCATGCTCGGCGTACGGTTAATGGGGAGTGACTGCTCCAGTTGTGTGTAGATCATCATGTGTTCGTGGCCATTACGAACTTCCGATAAACGCTCACATCGAGTTACTTGGAGGCTAACGACCGGAAGACTACGTGGCTATCAGTTACCGATGGAGGGGCTCGGTTAAGGACTGTCATTCCTTCTGGGGGACGCAACTTGACTCTAACTATGCCATTATGCCAGCCCGGTTACCGCTTCACCATCCATCAGCATTACGTGTGCCAGAGCAGAGCGGTCTCATTCATCAACTTCGATAAGTCTCATAGCCCAAGGTTATGGAGGTGGCGTGGTTAGAAAGCTACTGGAAGCGCACAATCATCCGAATGACAATGCCTGGAGGTTGATTAGGAGCGGTCAAAGAAGCTATGTCCGCAGATTACAGAACAGCCTTCCCAAGCCATCTGACTCGACCAAATGAACACCGGATATCGTCGAGATCACCAGATCTTATTGCTGCCACAACGATTGTTCCAGCAATGAATGATTGTTGTGGCGCACGCAGATCCCTCAAACACCGGATAATCAAGAGCTTGAAGAATGACAGAGAACTGTGGTGGATTTCGAAGGCCCAGGAGATAGCGAAGGCCTTCGCTGCAGGAAACAGCCACGCCCTATCCCCGCTAATTCGATCAACCAGTCAAGAGGAGACAGGTGTCAGTGAAACAATATGCGAAAAAGATGAGAGCAATTCACTACCTCAATCGCCGTCTTGAGCAATGAACTGAACACTACTGAAAACCACTTCAGTTACATTTAAGGTCTTTAGGTGAAGAATCAAAAGACCGATTAACGAAGGGAGCTCGTTGCAGCTTGCCAAAAGTATTTGGAGGCGCACACACCTAAGAACACTCAGAGGCAGTCTGAGAACCTCAATTCAGCTTGCCACGTGCAGCTGCTCAGGCAGATTTCCAACCGGCAACACATCCCTGGTCAGTGAAACTGGAACTCCGATGGCTTCGGAGATAAACGAATGCCATTTACCTTCAAGCATCATCAAGCTGCCCTTCCTGGCGAACTCCCACCCGCTGTGTTTAAAAATGAAGGTGAAATCTTCAATTTATTTGTCTCTTTCCGGAAGAAAGAGACCCTTTCAACTAACCAAGATGAGTCAATAGTGGTGCCCTGTGGGAGCCACAGGAACCATCCTTACCCACGTTGTAAGCAGACCACTTGAGTTTTGCATCGTCTGACGACGACCCGTGAAAAGGGAAACCGAGAAGATTCCGGTCAGGAAAGATATGTCTGAATCACATATTCACACTCCTCCAATTGTTAGAGCAACGACATTCTCGGTGTTCCTTGGATACAGGAGCGCGTTCGATTCTGTCGAGTGATTATTCCTTTTCTACACGCTTGTGCAATGAGGTGTGCCCTGGAAGTTAGTTGACACCATACATTGCCTGTATTCACATACTTGTGGGCGCTGGAGTATGTCTCGGAATCTTTCCAAAAGCTTTCCTGTAGACAATTTTGTCCGACAAGGATGTCCACTCTCTCCAGTTTTGTTTAATTGCTTTGTTTATGAGATAATGAGGTGGACACGGGAAGGTCTCCAAAACCCAGTTGTTGAGATCTATCCTGGCGACTACCTAACCAAAGTCATGCTGCAGGACATTCCGTTTTTGAACACGCTTCTGAGTATCCGGTGAGTGACAGCGGGAGTTCTGGGATGTTATGCATATCGCGGAAGTCGCACTAACTCTGACGGTACCGTGGCGGACGAGACTAACGCACGAATTTCAAAGGCCGGGATTGCGGTCGCCAGTTTGCACCACTGGTGCAATCGAAAAGCGTATCACTGGGTCTCAAAAGACGCATGTGTCGGACCACAATGGGGGTTGTATTGGTGTATGTCTGCGAAACTTAGGTGCTTCGGGCGGAGGATCTGTGTCATCTTCACGTCTTTGACCGCCGTTGCCTCAGTGCTATAGCTGGAGCAGGCCGCAGCCAACGAATTGAATATCTGGTTATTATTGGAAAGGTTTTTGATGAACTTCACTCAAAGGATGCATCCATCGCTTCAAGCTTAACTTGTTAGGTCGTGAAATATGCATGCTGATTTACTGCCTGTCGAACCAAGCGCTGTTTTCTGTGCCCAAATCCGAGTGCCGCAAACCTGGAGATGAACAGAATCTGACGTGGTGGAAGGGAATTCAGGATGTTATGAAAAGTTTGAATGCTTTTGGCGCTGTTCGCCTTCTAGGATGTGGTCCTCACGACCCTTGCTGTGCTTAGCTGGAGACACTTAATGGCGGCTAGTGATTGTCAGTGGCGCTCATGTCGTCACATCCTATCGAAATTGTCTGATTGGGCATTGATAGACACCTAGGCTGGCCCCATGTCTCCCTCTCTGCCCCATATCTTTCTTCTTTCCATTAAGTGGCTTTATTCAAATAAAGTGAACGCGCTTGTAAGGCATTGGAGCACCAGTGTTCTCATTTGATGTTGACGTCATTGATGATAAAGAGAAGGATGGCTCTGACTATGAGAGACTTGAGTACAGATATATTCTCGATGCAGTTGACCTGTTCAAATTACGTTTCTCTTTTGTAGCACGTGCTATGGATGAGGACGAACTTCTCACCCTGTTCCACTCTCCGCAGTTCGACCCGAATGTGTATGCATCTAGCGTTTTTGGAGTTCGTAAAGCTTCGGAGGTCTTGCGTCTGGTAAACGAAAAAATTCTCAGGTAACTATTACGTTTATTAACTCTCGACCATTTCATATGACCCGACCTGTACACATGTTCACCGGACTCATGGTTGTGTTTGAATGTTATCGGCAATGGGATTTTTTAACGTTTGCCGAGAAATCCTCTTGTGATTTATATTCACTGTTGAAGGAGGTGACCGGCACAAATTGTCCCGTCGCTCTGACTGGTGCTAAGGTTTGAGATGACTCAATGGTTAAAACGCGAATTTACCGACCGGAAGGTCCGTGGTTCGAACCCGACCTCTGCCTCTTGACTTTCCCCGTCTAGACTTGAGCAGCCTCTCAGTATTCTAGTCCTCGTGCCTCTTTTGGGTGGCATGGCAGCTAAGCCCCGAAAAGGTGTGATTATTATTATTTTCACTGTACTTCATCTTTCTATGGAGGACTGACTGATGCTAAAGGCACGTGTACATAGGGAGCCACGGAGTCAGTTACGAAAAGTTGTTTTGTTGGTTGGTTGTTGCTAGCAGTTTCAGACGAATTTTGCTTCCATTTATGCTTTGATTCGATTTCGCCACCACTTGGATATACGGCGTGATTGACTTCACTCGTCCCGGCTAAAAACTGCTACTCCGTCGTGGTATCTGGTCTGTGGTGTCGCAGTTATCGCATGACGTTCCCCAAAGTCTAGTCATACTTGTAAAATTCGACTCTTTCTACCCTGAAGGTGGAGGAGTTTGGTGAAAATGGCACCTATGTTCTCACATTCCGATCGCAAAACGGACGGTCGGTCGCAAAGGGGTTTTGAGTCATCTGATACGGCAAAAAAACACTCAGGATGGTAAGAGCCCACGTTTCGCTTCAAATGCATCTGGTATGCTTTAGGAACCCAACCTCCATGCTTGCTGCCTAAATCTTTGGGTTAGTCTGGCCGGCCTTATAACCAATCGGGTCGGACCTTTGGGTCACTGGCAGGGTCTCAGGAAAACTACAACATCTGTCGCATTTGAGGTCGCACTGTTGAACCAACGAATTTAGACTTGGTACCGCAAGAAGACCATACCCGCTCCCCTCGCTTCTTGGGCTGGGACTCAATTCAAGAACCCAATATGGCATCCCTCCTGAGCAACCATCCAATGGGTTAATGGGACGTAGACGCTTTCAGCGTTCTCTTCACCAAATGAGCCAGTAGGCTTCACTTTCTTGAAGTCGATGTGGGCTATTCTAGGAGATTCGACCTTGCCCATCTAACTTAAGTGCGAATTCAGATTTTCCAGATTTTCCTCCACTTTCTAGGTTTTGTTTGGCAATGACTCATGGTACATGTGTTGAAAGACCTTCAGCCATCTAGTTTGAAGCGCTTTTCGGTTAACCAGACAAACGAAATCCGCCACAAATCGCCCAGTACTTGGTGCCTATTCGCGTCAATGTACGTCCAGACTGAGGCTGGGTCGGACGTTGAGAACGGTAAGGCAGCTTCTCGGAGTGAATAATTCTGGCATAGCCATTAAAGACGATCAGTCGCGTTGAGAGTGATAACGGAAAGCAGCCCAACGAGTTTCCATACAGCAATAAATCTCATCTGGAGGACGATTAGAAGCGAAGTTGTATTGTTGGCCACAGCCGGATGATGACAGTAAGATTTCCCTCCAGATGACTAGCATTTTTTCATTTGTGGAAACGCGGTGGGGTCTGCTCCAGGAACCATAGGTAAAAAAACAACCGACGCTAAATACCGCATATTCTGATCTCCAGATGGTTGGACACGACCGCCGGTGTATCTTCCAGTACAGTCGAAAAGCCAACAAATCTAGCAGATCCCAGTTTGGCTTCGACCATACCTGCTGTACTTAACTCCATCAAAAGGCAGACATCTGGGTCACACTTCTTGCACTCTCGAGCTAGCCCAGCTGTCTTCAGCCAAGTGGGCTAGACCCTTGAATAGTACCGTCCTACGAGAAGACCATATGAATCGCCGCATCATGTTTCGGTTGCTAGGAGAAGGATCCTGGAACAAAACCCCGTACCTTGTCTGTCGTGCGGTTTAGAATTTCGAGTTGAAGGTTCAAGATTGCGTACCCGTTCGGTCTGGGCAACCTGGAAGTACCATCCTCTACTGCAGATATCCGCTTACCGATCCCCTCTCACACCACGTTCAGCTAAACACTCGCGGTTCACTTAGCTGTATCACCTATATATGAACTCCCTCCCAGTGAAATGAACCAAGTTAGACCCGTAATAAAATCATTGGATATGTTCAGCATTGTAGCTTTCAATGCGCAGGCTCCAAATCGAACTGAGTGGTGGGTATCTCTTGCTCAGAATTTGTTTACGCCTATAATCGTTATGTGTCACCAGAACTCAAATAGACGTCTACCCTGTAATGTCGCACGATTTGCGCTCGAGTTCATAGACACTACAACAAACCAGAGTTGATACGTTTGTAAGAGTCTGTGAACTTTGAAGTCTGGCGTTGCTTATTTAGATAAAAAGGGGATAGACCAAATTACGCTATCCCTTTAAATGAGTTCGTGCTTGTACATTTTGTGTGACCGGTACGTTGTAAAAGTCACGCAAGTAGCCTTTAATTATGCTAAAATTATGACCGTGGGCGTGGCGAAGTCCAAATGTATATTCGCGACGGGGGCTACCATGTGAGGCACTTCGGCTGTTAAGAAGGGCCGTTAAATAAACAGACGTTCCTCTGTCCCCATTCAACCGGTGGCACTCTTTAATTTTTTTCATGTAAACTTGGTCCTTCTGTTTGGGATATTGAATGTAAACTTTAAAGAACTTTTTCTCGTGGAAAAGGAAAAGGCTTTTCCGGATCGATTTGTCGAGGCTTTCCACTATTATTTCACTCTCTGGGGTTTTCTTTCCAATGTGAATTATGTCGCTTGCAGCACATAATCCAGGATTCACATGTGTTATCTGTATTTCAGTCTGGATGCATCTATTTATCAGCATGTGGCTAGCCATCACAAGGAATTGCTAAAACGGGCCAAGGATATCGATCAGTTGCACGATGTGCTGCAAACCACAGAGTCGAAAATCACCAATCTATCTCAGTCATTGACCAAACTGAAACACAAAGTGGCCGCACCCTACATAGCTCTCCACACTCAAATCGAGCAATTTCGTCGACTTCAAAGAAGCTGCGATTTGCTTCGAAAAATCTCCAGAGCTGCCCTTCTCACCAAACGCATTCAGTGTAAGTTTTTCGTGTTGATCAAGCAACATCATTACCAATTATCTCCGTTTTCCGCTGTTCAGCCAGACTGACAGACCTATCCAAGTCCTCCGCCTATGTGAATGAACTGGAGCAGCTATTCTCGAGCGTCGATTGGGAGGGTATTCACACGCTGGAGTCATACAAAAGGTCCATAGAGCAAAGTCGAGAGGACATGATTTCCCAAGCGTGGAATCTCATCGATACTTCTCACGAGTTGGCAGGCCAAGTTCAGTTGGGTTTAGGGTTACAGGTAAGCATATACATGCGCAGAGCTTCACTCTGATTCTACTTCATCAGCTACTGTACGCATACTACCGTGCCGCCTTTATTTATCACCCTTTTCAGCCATTTTTCTCATACATTGTTTCAATACTCCAATACTTTTAAATCCCCTCAAGGGTTCGTACCGGCTTTCAAACAAGCCCAGTCTGTATTGTGTGTCGAATTGTCTACTGGTGGAGTACAATGAGTTTATCCACCTAATAAACGGAGTTCGAAACTGGTCTGCCATCGAAAAATAGTCGCGACCATTAGGCAGTTGTAAATGAACAACTGCAATACTGTATCGGGCACGCCAGTCACTATAGATGGCAAACTTGTGAAATCCGCACGCACAATGGGAACCTCTTTGATCTGCTTAGATGAGTTACTCATGAGTTTCGTAGTCCTCACCACCAATTGTAGACACTAGTACCTGACTACCTTTCTGAAGGTTCAGTGATCCATTGTCTGTCACTCAACTGGCTTGTGTCAGGTTTTTCATTCTAGTCAAATTTTTTCTCTTAGTAGTCGTCAAAGTATTTTGCTTTCAGCTTCTACCGTTTCGGTCATCAGCGAATAAAACCACAAAAACTAAGCCACGCTTAAGGATTAGTGATCAGACGACTTTAATAGTATCAGTTCGACCATTTCCTTATGTTTAGTTCGGGCAGATTAGTTTTGGTCGTGACAACTTTAATCCTTAGCTGTGGACTAGATGCACGTCGGCCTGTTGCACCTTTCACATCCGTGTTAGTATTCCGGTTCTTACTGTATAGATCGTCATCATGAACACCTACATCTCGCTTGAACGCTGTCTCCCTATCAATTAGAATCCTCGTAAAACGAAGGTTTAGTATTTCAGCGGCACAATTTACCTCGGTGTTTATCGCATTTTTATCCATCTTCGTAACTACTCACGTCACATAAAGTAGCATTCAACCTTTCAAGCTTGTTCTTAGCGTAGGTGATGTCAGTGTGATCACTATATCCAGTTGCCAAGCTAATTGTATAAATTAATTGAAAATACAGGAGGATATTCTTATGGGTGATCTATTGGTTCAAGTTTTGGTCAATGAAGGGCCGCTTTTTCCCTCAAACCACCTGCAATTCTCGATCGCTTCATAGGGTCGGTGACTGTTCATTCTCACAAAAGGACTGACTTGGGCTAGGACTCGAAGAGCTTAGTCTACATTGACCTCTAGCACATTCTGACGGGTATAATATACGAATTATATCAACGATCTTACCACATTCGGTGATTTTATTCTTCCCTGCCACGTAGATGGATGAACACGCTCTAACGGTTGTTCGTGTAACTTCATCCCAAGCCCTAGTAATCCAGTTTACCACACCTAGTGGGACAGATTTGTAATTCTTAACGTTTTGACACGCCACTTAGCTGTTCAGAAACTTAGTTGACTGAGGTCGCCATGCAAATGTTTCTTCATTTTCATGTTATGGATTATTCTTTATCTGGTGACGTTGCAATCTTTCTTATAGGGAGGCGAAGTGGTAATTTTTGTAGCCCAAATGTTAATCGGTGTCTAGAATGGAGTCACCTTCCAACTACCTCGTCATTCCAATTTATCAGCCATTCGACAGTTTCGAATTAGTTCGTTATCTGCATCTCTTCACGTGATTTTGATACACTCGAGGCTAATGTTCGTCCCGATGATGGCATGGAAGTATGATGATCTTCCGATTCCCGATTTCGACTGGCTGTCATACTTAGGGTTTTAGTCAGCACTCATAGATACAGTTATTCAGCTTCATGGCATTTAACATTTCTGCTTCCTTGTACGCTGTACACAACTGCTACACTCTACTCGATCAAATATCAACAGATTTGGATGACACTCCTACGGCTCTTCCACGAAGTGATCTTCGACCTATAGTATTACCTTGTCGGGAGTTGTACAGCGAAATATTGCTAACTTTAGAGTTTTTCTTACCCCGTTCTTCAGCATATTCACTTAATTTCCTTTGTACTATTTTTTCGGTCAACGATAGGTTCCTACAACATTTGCCTGTCAGCTCACATTGTAGGCGTACTTATACATTTAGCATTTTAGAGGTGGAAATCGATCCCGATCGCTGGCGTAGTGTAAGATAATGCATATAGCTTTATGTTCCCCAAGCTTGGTGGCGCTCATGTCACAAGGCATTGTCCAAGAATCTTGCTTGGTGTGGGCGCCCTGGCAGTATCCCAGCCCTCGTACAACCATGACCTACACAACTAACAATATTCTCATGCCACATCGGCCGTCGCGTGGTGCCATCAGCCGGGTCGCCTTACTTGCTGCATACAGCAGGGCGGGTAAGCGAAAACATGCTACTGCTGACGCCTCCCTTCTTACACTTTCACGTTTTCCGTCTTCCACCCTCCCCCGCCCAAATTTGAATACTTTATCCGCAGGTCCCAGCTCCAGGACTGACCGTTTTGCTCGCCCTGCATCACACTCAGCTGCAGCTTCTGCACGTCCGAGTTCAGTTACAACCCTAAACACTTCGAAGTCTGTTTTCAAACCCCGAAAGCCCGTCTACTTAGCCACTTTCAATGTTCGCACACTGAAGCAAGCAGGTCAACAGGTGGCCCTTGCGCGTACACTGGATTCCCTCTGTATTGATGTACGTTGTCTGTCAGAAACAAGGACGCAGGACGCAAGTACTGTAATCGAACTGACTGCCCCCTCGCTCTCTTCCAGGTTCCGACTGCGCCCCTCTGGTGATGCAGAGGCCGCTGCACCTGGACATGCTGGGGTGGGTATTGTATTGAGCGAACGAGCGGAAGCGTCTCTGGTTGATTGGATACCCCTTGACAGTCGCCTCGGTGCGGTTCGTTTGGCAACATCGGTGAGAGAATCTAGAGGAAGTGAGGTTCATCGCACCTTGTTTATTGTTTCTGCTTACGCCCCAACTGACTGTAGCTCTGAATCTGCCAAGGACAGTT